GTGTACAGTGCAATACAATATTGTTTCTACATTTACTGTATACTATGTTTTAGGATTAAGTTAACATTTACAGTGCAGCTGGCCAAAACATTTATGAGTTAAGTCATAGACCCACGGCTGTTGTAAGAGTCAACTAACTGGGTGCTTCCTTCAAAGTTGGAGTGCATCTGCCTGAGAGGCAAAAAACCAGCAATCTTCATACACCTAAGTCTGATCTGTAAAATAGATGCACAGGCAACACTCAGGTTCTGAAACAAGACTAAAGTCCAGAGGTGGATAAACAACCAGAAGAAGAGAGAGTATTTTCTGGCACTTTTTTAGCCTGTTTTCCTGAGAGGCAAATGATTACAGTTTTGTCATTTTTATTGTATACGTTTGCAGTTCTGCAAGATCTTCTTCTTCTTTGTGTTCACCAACTGTAAACTGCTGTGAAAAGTTCTGGCTGTTCGTCCACTTCTGAACTTTAGTCCTGTTCCAGAACTATCTATCATATTTGTATGCAGACTGTTGGTTTCTTGCCTTTCAGGCATATTTGACACTTTGAATGAAATACCCCCCTAATTAGTCTACAAGCTCATTGGGGGGTGGGGGGATATTGGTCTTTTTACTTCCTTTGGTGTATTCAGGTTCCCAGAACCCAGTTGGGGAATGAGATATTCAGTTTATGTTAATTTTATAATGCTTAAGGTAAGTATAAGACCAATTTCTTGGCAGTAGTGTATTGAGATTTGATACTAGACTCCTATATTGATTTTGACGATTGATGGGCCATGTGTTTTATTTCTATGAATTTTGTGTGTTGTCTGGTACCTGGCAACAAGTTTACATTGACAACAATTTTGTAAATGATAGGAGTATTCACAGTGAAAAGTTTACACAATGTGTTAGTGCACCATATTCTGTTATATGTTAATTTTAATATTGAAAAACTATATATTATAATGTTTGTGACAGTTTTACAATTGAAGTAGACATCATGATACATTTATAGAACAAATGGGTTGGTATGAAAGTGTATGGTCAACAGGTTTGAATGTTTGCAATGCTGTAGGTTGATCATTAGACTTGAATACACTGCATGTTTATTTTTTTCATGTTGATTTTTCATTTTATATCACTGACATTAAAACGAATTGAATGCTAGTATTCTAGTTTGTTTCTTCTTGTTTCTCTTTTGTTATGATTATAGAAATTTATGTTAGTTCTTGCCTCAAAAACATGTTCAGAAAAGAAAAAACCGAAAGACCTTTTTCATGCCATTGATGTATCAGACATGTGCACTAGGCTCATAATTGTTTGTAGACTCGGTGTTCGTTGTGGTTAACACCGTATAGACCAGTCCCAACAGAAGTCCACTGTGCGTGAAGTCACCTTTATTTTTGTTCCGGGATACGCAGGCATCGATGGAAATGAAAGAGCTGACTGGTTGGCTGGATCCGCTATCACTACCGGCGGTCAGCCTATGGATTATGCTGATATTAAAAATGCCCTCAGAGAAATGGGAAGGATAGAGGACTTTGGTGGCAGTGAATCCACATCACTCGCCAGAATGGCAGACTTGGGAATTAAGATCGGCATAGCAAAAAACGAGACGCACACCAGAAACGCCAGAAGACTTGTTATCAACATGGAACTGGTACTATTAGCCATCGGACGTTGGGGTTCATACTGAGGGGAGGATCTGAGCACCTATGGACATGTCCGGAGTGCAATGATGATAACCCAAATAACTAACTAACAAAGACCAGTCCCAATCACATCCCTACTTTCCTGGACAGTTTTCAACATCACCACTACAGGCTGGGTCATGTACATGTAGGTTCCAGGTGAATATTTTGGTAGAAAAGAAAAATAAACATCATAAAAGGCGACTAATTATGGATTCCTCTGAAGCCAGAGCACATCTGCCTGAGAGGAGAGGAACCAACAGTCTGCCTTCAGGTAAGACAGGTCTGTAAAACAGATGTGCACACACATTTCAAGTTCTGGACCAAGACTAAAAGTCCAGAAGTGGGCGAACAACCAGAATTTGCTACTAGAGTTTACAGCCACTGAAAGATAAGGAGAGGAAGAGCCTGGGTCAATAATGAAAAATACACCTCAGTATGGGTTCACACCCAAGACAATAGCAAACAAGTGTCTAACCCATTGTCCTTTTAGAGCTCCCCAAATCTTATGGGTATCGTTCGATAGGGCCTACCATCTCCTTTCCTGGAGGCTTAGCACATGGCTCTGCGGATAACCTCCAGTTATACTGTATTTATCATCATCATCATCAGTTCTCGATATGCCTGGTGGCACATGAGGCTTCAGAGAGGACTTTCCATGCTTTCCTGTCCTGTGTAATCTTCAATGCAGTTTTCCATGTCAAAGATGCCACACTCAGGTCACTTTCCATCGTTCGTCTCCATATTGTTTTTGGGCGCCCCTGTTTTCTCTTTCCCTCTGGTATCCATGTGAGAGCTGTTTTGGCAGGTGTATCAGAATTTATTCTCCTAACGTGGCCAAACCATTTCCATCTTCTCTTGGTTATCATACTGTCTAGAGTTTCTTGGTTTGTGACTTGAAGTAGTTTAGTGTTTGAGATTGTTTCTGGCCAGAAAATTTTGATAATTCTACGTAGACATGTATGGTGGAAGGTGGACAGCTTGTGTACATCCTTCTTGGTCATTCTCCACTACTGTATTTATGATCTGTCTATACTGGGCCCGTGTCTTTGGCATAGGACGATCCCCTTTTGGAAAATTGCGGTTCCTGAGTACACTTAAATGATTGCACCAGACAATTTAAAAATCAAAAGCTTCAGTCACCATGTCGGGAATCGAGTGTCACCTCCAGACCAGTTAGTCATGTGTCTTAGTACAGTTGGTTCTGCAGTGAAGCGCTGTCGTCATTTGGAGGTGATAGGTTTTATTCCCAAGTTTAGCTTACGATTTTAATGTCTAGTGTGTCCATCAGGAAATCATCTTTACGCTTGTTACGTTTGTTCATTTAAATTTATTTGATATAAATAAATGTGTATGAGTACATATACTGGTTCATGTAGCCAGGGAATGTCGTCCCATGGTCGTGAAAGGTTTGATTCCCAGCGTGGAAACTCTAGGTCAACTAAATTATTAAAAGATATAACACTTTAAAATACCATACTGAAGGGAAAGTCTGAAGACAAGTAAGCAAGAGACAGACAGCGATACAAGTGGGAAGATAACATCAAGAGATTGAAGAGCGGAAGTCTTTGAGAGTGTATATCCAGGGCAAAAGACAGAGCGTGTTGAAGACCCATTGCAGCCAACGATCATTGTGGAGACGGCACCTAACTCATTGATTGGGTGATAGACAGAAAGAGGAATTAGCCGTCAGCAGTTTAGAATATGTAAAATACTTTTTTTTTTTTAATGTCATGCCGCGAGGCGTTGATAGTCATGTCTGTCCACAACGTCATGTCTCGTGTACTCTCAATAAACTCTGACACAGATGATCCTCCATGCCATGATGTCAGACTGTCCCGCTTCTTCTCTGTCGGTCTCCCTCTGCCTCTCTTCCCCGCCAACTGTCATGGTGCCACGATGTACTCCAGTTTTCTCCTTCTCATCATATGACATGGCCAACGAATGTAGACTGTGTCCTTCTGATGTCGGCAATCAGTTCTCTTCAGGAGTCAGTGTCTTTCAAGACTCTTTTTTTTTTCTATCTGTCCAGGGTATTCTCATCATTCGTATATAAAACCACATCTCCGCAGCTCCCAAATAATTGTTCACTAATCGACCAACTGTCCATGATTCACTTTTGTATATCAGGATAGGATATAAATTTCTTTTAAGAATTCGTTTTCTCGCCCCAACTAATAATGAAAGATTGCATAGAATATTCTTTGTTTTGTAAAATGCCGCCTTTACTTGAGCTGTTCTAATTCAACTTCTTTAAAACATTTTCCATCTGATGTTATCAGGGTATCCAACTAGTTAAACGAATAAACTTGCTTGTGGATTGTCCTATTTACAATCTTTTTTTAAAATACTTTCATAAAACTGATAAAAATGCAAACCTTGCGGCATCTTTTTATTGTAGGCTATTTAAGATAAAAGTACACAACGAAACATATTGGGAAGCACAAAACGAAAATTCAAGACAACACATACTGAGCAAGCTAAATAAGCTTTTAATTCATCAGGTAAAATAAATACAACAACATAAATGTTAATAGGTATCAGACAGCATTTAGTTAGATATTCTATCTATTTGGTATTTAGAAATGCGAGATTAAGGATTTTTGTAATAGGTCGCTGAAGAACAGACATGGGCCATTCAACATTACACGTGTAAGATAATAAGACTAAGAAATTATAACTGTTTCATATGAAAACAACCAGGGGATCTGACCAACGCTCAACACTCAAGGAAATGGCGATACGGATATACAATCAGACAGTTACTGGTGCCATCAGAATTAGAACTCTTCGTTTGCTGCTGAAGATGGGGACGGGGCGCTGTCTTTTGCTTGAATTCTCTTGATATTGGGAATAAGTTAAGAAAAAGTAACAGTGGTATCATCGGTAGCCCCACCTAATTATAGTTTATTAATACCATTTAAACTAAGCACAGAACCAATACTGAACTGAATCTTTAGACAATACATCAAATGGTTTGGCCATGTAACCAGATTGGCATCAGACAGGGCACCACAAAGAGCAATATTGTACAGATATAACGGTAACATATCCATAAGTCGACTACGCAGAACATGGACCGCAGAAATATCATAAACACTGAAAAGTACTTTATACAAAGCGAAGGATCAGTTCCAGAGATCTTTTCCTGCCCTGACGCCTTGTGGCATTCCCGCGCAGAGAAAGGAAAAAGAAACTAACATATGTATCGTTAACCTGACCACAGTTTTAAAAATGAATCAGCAAACCCCTCCCCCCCCCCCCCCTCTTTTTCCACCACGAATTTTGTGCATCAAAATGGAATCTGGGAGTATTAGGCGCTAGTGTTTCCAGTTATGATACCTCTAGCTCGTTGCTGGATGCTGTTGTCCTCTTTGGTTTCGGTAACATGTTTAACTGTTGAATCCTGTTTTCAAAAGCTCGCAGGATTTGCTGAAATGGAACACAATAATGTATGCTAATATATCCTGAATTTTATAGACACATTTGCTCTCTCTCTCTTTCTCTCTCGCGCGCGCTATTTCTCTCACCTCTCTCTCTCTCTCTCTCTCTTACCTTAACTATGTATGTTTAAGAGTATGTCAGAAAATCAACGACAGTGAGTGAGAGAGAGAGAGAGAGACACACACACACACACTCACACACACACACACACACACGAGAGAGAGAGAGAGACTGAAAGAGAGAGAGCGGGTGAGAGAGATTACATTGGACCAAAAGGATGTACACGAATGCCTTTTATGTGGGAAATGTTACACAACAAACACACAAAGACATTGTCTATGGCCATATGAAAGAAAACAACCATCAAACAATGACCAACTCAAGAATAAGAACCAATCCAGCAGAAGGTTTTAAAAACAATGCTACTTACACTTCCTGTTTACGAAACAAATGGAAAAAAAAATAGACTGCTAGCATCCATGTTTGGCTTGATCATAATTACTCCTAATTTCAAATAAAATGAACGGTATACTGTTTATTGCTTATAAATCAACTTACTTCATTTCCAACACTCTGTGCAATATCATACGGTGTTTGTCCATTCTGGAGGGACATAAATAAAACACTAATTAAAATATTAAATGAAATAAATTTTTGAGGCAACACAAAATGATTTAAGCAACACCGGTTTTATCATTAATATCAAATGACAGACACTTGCGAAAGCGTCAGTCCCAGACGCCTGCAAACATAATATCAAATGACAGAGATTTGTCACAGTGTCATCCCAGACGCCTGCAAACATAATATCAAATGACAGAGACTTGTCAAATGTCAATCCCAGACGCTTGCAAACATAATGTCAAATGACAAAGACTTGCAAAAGTCTAAATCCCAGACGCCTGCAAAAATAATATCAAATGACAGAGACTTGCCAAAGTGTTAATCCTAGATGTCTGCAAACATAATATCAAATGACAGAGAATGCTAGGGAGTCAGTCCTGAATGCCTGCAGCCGATCAGAGGATACGACGACAAAGGAGAAAGTGGAGGATAATCTGTTTTAAGGTGGCAGTTTTTTTCCACACAGCTGGACTTTAAGGTCGGTCCAGCTGATAATTTGTGTCCGGAAATGTAATGGGGTAACAAGTGGTTGGCTTGACACTGACCACATTCAATAGCGAATCACTCTTCTTGTTATTATTCACTTCCTCTTTTACCGCTTGGGGTGACAGGGGGTATGCTTCTTGTTCGTCTGACCGTCTCTACCATAGACACATCGTGCTGCTGTAGAATATCTCTGTTATCTTTCCATCTTGTTCTTGGTTCACCTTGTACTCTACCTTCTTCTCATTTTTTGGTGTAGTATAGCTTTGTGTAGAATGGCGTCACAAGACATTCTCTGTAAATGAGCGAAGTATTTGATTTGCTGTCTTTGCCAACAATTTAGAATTAATTCTGTGACGAGTTTTTCTCTTTTGGTCTAATTTCTGATTTAATCTTTTCTGGTGACTCCTGTAGCTCTTCTCTCAGACATCTCATTACCATGGTTACCAATTTTGTTGTTGTTGTATTTGTGTGTGTGTGTGTGTGTGTGTGTGTGTGTGTGTGTGTGTGTGTGTGTGAGAGAGAGAGAGAGAGAGAGAGAGAGAGAGAGAGAGAGACCATGTCTGTCACTGGTAACAGAGTGGAATTGAATATGCTTTGTATGAGATGTTTATTTATTTCTGGCCACGAGAAACACCGGTAAAAGCCAAACCTTTCGGGTCCTTGAGTGAATTAATAAAGACAGTGACTTTCATACTAGAGACAACATTGCAGATGTAGATAATCTATTAAGGTGAACGAAAGAAGAAGAGGAAGAAGTTTATGTGTGCTGATCGGAATTGTCTTATGCCTGAAGAGGAAGAGCTACCTGTCCCAATACTTGGTTTGATTTATTACATTTGATATTAATTTCTTCATCCATTTTCCCATCTTCAGTGAAAGCTGTCCCTATATATTCAAACTCAGATGCCTGTTTAATGCCGTCAAACCCCGGTGAAGGCTGGAATCTTTTCAAGCGGACTTCTAGTAATTTTCCCGGGTCTCTGTTTAGTAAGACCGGACGCCCGTGTGTATTGTTGCGCACGTAAAAAAAATCCATTGACAGTTGTAAATCGAAAAAAAGAGTAGCGTAACGGCGATGCCTGTGCAAAATGTAGAGCTAGAAATCTACCCAAAGTATTTCAGGATCCTCGCCGGTGCAAGGAGCTCGTGCACTGCGCTGAGATTATTAAGACTCAGGCTTGAGTCAGAAGTAGAACGGAGCACTTATGGGTCTAACCCGTGTGCCATGATGTTGATCCGTTAAATAAACAAAACAAAACAAAAATAATAAAGAATACAGTTACACTCTACTGATATATAACAATTAATCTATAAATAAAGGGTTAGCACAATAAAATCAGAATTGTTCGTGGTGTGAAAAACTGGAATTTTACTTTCTCACATACCTCATTGGGCTCATATATATCTGCACCCCTTGCCAGAAAGAATTCAACCAACTTAGGTTTCCTTCTAATAATTGCATTTAGCAGGGGAGTGAAATGGTTGTAGGCCTTTGTTGACATGTTAGCCCCTCTCAACTGAAGACTTGCAGCTAGTTCATACGCCTTTGAATCAGGAGTCATGTTAGCTGTGGACAAACGTCTAGTATAGTATTGGAAACTATCATAGAAATGTATATGCCTGATGAAACAAAAGTGGGTGAATAAAGAATTGATATCACTACACTCCGGACATCACCGTAGGGCTCTGTCCCGTTGCTCCGTAGACAACGAAGTTGTAAGGTGCACCCTCATCAAAGTCCATCCTTCATTTCCCTCGCCTGTGCATTAAAAACCGTTTAGATAGTTTGTTCACTAACAGTCGCATCAATCTCTCCAGATACTGATACTTTCTTTTAGTGCCCCTAGTGCACACAATGTTAAACTAGTTCGCCACCAAGAGGAGCGGTTCCAGCCAGTTTCTCAGGCTGCTCATTACCACAGACACCTGTGTATCCTGAGCACAAAAAGCACACTATATTTCTCATCTTAGTTTTATCAAGCAATTAAAGCCATTCTGCAAGTAGAGCACCAACATCACCCGAAGCATGATTTCAGAATTAGCTACATTATATGTCTTTTTGTACTAATCTAAACCCATAGGTAAACTGTCTCCACATACATTGTCAGGTTGATTATTGTAAAGTTATTCGCGAGATACCCCCCCCCCTCCCTTTCTCTCTCTCTCTCTCTCTCTCTCTCTCTCTCTCTCTCTCTCTCTCTCTCTCTCTCTCTCTCTCCCTACTTCTCTCTTTATCTTTCTCGCAGAAATGTCCATTCAGCTTTGTAATGACACCTCCACACGCTCTGTTTGCCTCTCACTACAAATTCAACTGTGTATATATGGATATCACAGAGGTGCGGTACTTTATTGATCAGAAGTGGCGCCCATCCCTCTGTATCACTAGCTATGTATCCCCATTTCGTTGTCCAAAGTGACTACCACTCAGTGCAGAGATGATTTGCTAGGCAGGACTGCCACCCCTTCATTACCATGCACTTTATGTCAATTGGACACACATTCCTGGCAATTACTTCAAAAACATAGGCGGTATTACAATAAATGTTTTTTTTTTCAAAGACAACCTGTAGAACATACAAGCCTACAATAAGATCGAAAGTGGGTAAGCTGGTAAAGAGTGACTGTAAAGGCGAGGGTAAGAAAATTAATAACTGCATCTGAATTAATACCGTGAATTTAAGAAATGATCAGTATAAGTATTTTACTATTAGGCCTACACCTTACCACATCTGTTTAGCGGTGTCATCCCTCCTGATTTTTCAATCTGCTCAATATCAAAGCCATACTTTTCTGAATTATCCAACATCCACTCAACCAATCTGACATATCCCCCATCCACAGCGTGGTGGATTGCAGCCATGCCAGATTTATCCAGTGTTTGTGTTTCTGCTCCATGTTCACACAGCCATTTGACAGTTTCTAAGAGGTCCCTGCTGGCAGCATGGATCAACCTGGTTGGAAAAGGAATGTAACGATGTTTGAATACAGAAGAGTCAAATAACAGAGCGCACAATTTATTGCATGGAATATTTCTCGGTGTCTCAACAGTAGTAGTAGTACTTTTACCCCACCAGGACATCACACAAGCGATAAACCCCTGATGACACAAAGCGTCACTATGCGGATGAGGATCACACGTGGAGAGGTCACTGAAACCGCGTTCAGCCATTATGCCATATTTATGGCCGGGCTATATTGCTGCCCCTGGCAATAGCCATGGTGTGGGCTTTAAAATAACCCCCCAGAAATGATTGTCTCATCAAGTGCATACAACAGCAACAATTGAAGACAACGAAACAAATAATGGGATTCTTCTTCCCGAAATACAAATATACACGGTCAGACAATTAAGTAATGAGACTAATTCAATAAAAATTAAAATAATCAACAGTTGGAGATATAACCTGTATTTTTTTTTTTCTTTCAAAATAAGCCTCTTGTGCATTGATACAGCGAATGGCACGATCTAACAAACACTGGAGCGACCACTGTAGTTGTTCTATAGTAATAGCCCTTAAAGTCGATGTTACGACCGTTTGGATGCCATCAATATTGCCAAACAAGCGTCCTTTCAATGGCAACTTTAATTTTGGGAATAGAAAATAGACACAGGAAAACAAATCTGGGTGATAAGGTGAATGGCTGAGAACACGCATCTGTTTTGGGGCCAAAAATTCATGTTTAACTACCGCCCTTTGAGCTGGTGCATTGTCACGAAAAATGAAACAAATTTGCCAAGTGTTGAATACAAACCGACAAGCAACTTTTTTCTTGCCTAAATCTTCCAATAAAATTTTTACAAATAGTCTCTGTATTAACACCGAATTCATCTACCATCATCCTCACAGTCAAACAACGATCTTCTTGTATCCGTTCTCTGAATTTTGCAATGAGTTTCTCATTACAAACATAAACTGGGCGTCTAGGTCTAGTTGCATTAGTAATCATTTCCACGCCCATTTTCGAATCGTGAATACCAGCTGAAAATATGTGGACGAGATAAATAATTATCCTCATAAACTTGTCGCATCACTTCAACTGTCGTAATGGCGCTTTTTCTAAGAATTTAATGTCAGCCTTTTTTTTTTTTTTTTTTTTTTTTTGGGCTCTATGCTGATTACGTAACAATGCACCTCTGACTAGGTTTACAATATGGCGGCTTGTTTATTGTCTGCTAATCAGGCGGCGATGAAAAGTTGCCAGACCATAGACGAACTTTGTCTCTTTGGATTCCATGCTTTGATTCATAGATGGCATTTTTGTCTTGGCCATAATAAAATCAGTTTCATTACTTAAGTATCGGACCTTGTACAAGCTGGAAACGTTGCTTCGAATATCATGATAGTTAAATGTAGTGAACAGCTAAGGCAATAACTGCAAACAACAACTGGTGCCGGTGCAGAGAGGATGAAATAAATATGATATGAAGAATGTTTGAGCATTGACAGTGATAAACACTTCTCAGTAAATGTAAAGGGGAGGAAACTACGTAGACGGTAGACATGAAAGCATTAAGAAAACATGATACTAGTCAAACCATACTGACACAACTGGAACAAAAGACTAAATATCCACATTCAGACAACAGTGGGTAAGATGGGTTGGACATCCAATGTGCTGCAAGAGATGAAGTAACGTAAGCAGCAACCGAAAGAACTTAATTTTCAAAAGGTCACAAATTGGACACGCAAGCCCATCTTCCATTTAGCCCTCCCAAACACTCATCTTTCATTCAGCAATTGTATTTTGGACGGCTCGAAGTGTTGGCTGAAGGTTCTGCTTCATTGGAGGATACACGCTAGAGAAGATGGTAGATGCTTAGAATGTGCACGCACACGTTCATCTGCTGTGGACATATTTCTGTCACAGTCATGAGGGAAGGGAATAAATAAAAGTAATGATGTCGTCTGACAAACACTTCTGAGGTATCTAAAATCATAATTTCAGTCGATGCACACGCGCGCGCGCATACACAAACACTACACACACACACACACACACACACACACACACACACAGACACATACCTTCTATGTTGGATTTTAAATTATTTTAAAGCTAAAACGCTTTTAAAAAAGAAACACCGTAAAAATATTTAACCCATTCTCTCTCCCCCCCCCCTCTCTCTCTCTCTCTCTCTCCCCTCTCTCTCTCTCCCTCTCTCTGTCTCCCCTTTCTTTGTATATATGTGCATCTATGTGTGTGTGTGTTTGTGTGTAGAATATTCACACACACACACAAACACACACAGATACACACACAGGCATATATGTAAAGACTGCACTGAAGACAAATAGTGAAAAGACAAATTTACAACAGACAACCATCGATATATGCGACAGTATACCACTAAACGATGGATGCACAAACAAACGCACACTCACACACAGCATAGGTATAACAATTAAAGGTGATGAGCATGCCAAAGTAGAGGGAGAGATTCAGAGCCTACAAAAACACTACATTCACAACATCAGGTCTCACGGAGTCTTTCCTCCGGCATCCTTCCTGTTGACATCTGCACCATGTTCTAGCAACAGTTCCATTAGCCTGAAAACACATAGAAGGAAGATATTATATGAAAGCACTGAAGATAAACAACGCATGTATTTATTACTTCATTAGAAATGTAGGTAGACCCAGGTTCGAATCCTCGGTAAGTTACGGTGTTGTTTTTTTCAAGGGCCAAAATAAAATCTAAACTTGCACAGTCCGTAGCGACATTACTAGCCATGCGGCCCTAAAACCTCAGGCTCAAAGACCCCCTACCTACACCGCAAAAGTAGTAAATGCGGGAAGTGATAGGCAGTAAACAGTAAGCAATAAAAACTATGTAATCTTTTATGTTGTTGCAGGCCCTCAACCAGCTAAATCCTTTGCTACTGCATCAGCTCATCCCATGTCCTCCCCGTCTGTTTAACTTCTCTCTCTAGCTGCCTTCTTCATGTGTTCTTTGGTCTGCCTTTTTTTTTTTTTTTTCTATGGATTCTAGTGCAAAGACATTCTAATTGTATTGTTCTCAGGTTTTCACAACATGTATACTATCCAACATCAACGTGTTTTCTTCACCTCTTGGTCCATTGGAACTGGTTTAGTTCTCTCCAAAAGCTCAAAATTATGAATTGTAACATACAATTTAATCTCCTCTAGTCTGTGCAGGCACCAGTTAATATATTACAGGTGCTAAATTGTTTAGAAACAACAACAAACAAATACATACTCCACGTTTTCTTGAAGGCCTGCAGCCAGAAGTGCACTAAAGTCTTTCTCGTCTTGTGCATCAGGATGGACATCTCTGTGTAAGAAGAAAACAAAAACTGCTGAATAACAGCTAATCTGAATGGCTAAAACCGTAGTCTCAACAAACATTGCCCATATCTCGTCATCACTTTGTTGGATGCAATTTTTCGTTATTTGAAGCCCTACTCTGGCTCTTTCTAGGGGCCGCAATATAGCACGACCATAAATATGGTCTAATTGCTTAACGCGGTTTCTGGGACCTCTTTACGGGTGATCCTCATCCACATGGTGGCACTTTGTGTCATCGGGTGTCTATCGCTTGTGTGATGTCCTGGTGGGGTAAAAGAAGATAGAAGAAACATTTTCCTGTCATTTAAGTCCTCACAATATAAACCGAATGAACAAACTGATAATCAAATTAACTTAAAACTGTCATTTTCTACACTGTCGACAGTAATATACTTTTGTTTATCCAGTTCATCTGTCGACATCAGAGAAATTCAGTCAGCAGAAATGTTTTATGTTCAGCCAGTTATGTAGAATGCTATCAACTGTTCTTCAACAGTTTTGTTTTCTCCGCAGTTGTCTTTGACGATACCAGGAAATTAGTTTCCTCTTTCTTTACGCACTTCCACATTTGAATGTGTTGAACATCACCTCGCCCGCCTTTACTTTCCATGATATTATCTCGTACCCATTTCAGAGTGGGTTGATCTGGGAGACAAGATCAATTTTGGAAACAAATTTGTATTGTTAAATGTGTCTATTGGAAACTTCCCCTTTGGCCATTCATTTTCACTGCAAAACTTACGGCCAGCCCACTATATGTAAGTCTAACATTTGATTGACGGTTAAAGACCGATATTATCTTACAAGGTGATGTGGTGATGTTCTAACTATACATTTTTACCTGAATCGTTATGTCAGACAAGACACTCGCAACTGACCTCTCTCAATCCTACCAAGGGCACGTTTTACTGCGAACTAGGTGCCAGATCATGAGAACTCATGACAATTAGCCTCCTACCCCCTTCCCTAAATGTAGGGACTCAGTCTCCTCACCCCAATAATTTTGTAAGGAAACTAAGCGACTCCCCGTTAAGCCATACATAGAAATTGTATTTAAAGGTAAAACTCACGATTCTCACCGCATCTCGTTCGGCCGCGTGATTTCGTATTCGTCCCCACGGCTGTCCTATGTTCTAGAGCTGTTATAAGATGTCTTCCTTCCACGTCTATATACATTTTTCCGAAAAATATCTTGGGTTCGTTCGACAAGGTGTCCCAGACGAAAGTGGTCAGCTTTTTTTTTTTTTTTTTTGGTCGCAACTGTATTTTCTGTAAACTACTGTTGTTTATGGAATGTGTTCTTGTTGTGAGTAGCTCATGCCTCACAGGCGCCTGTGTACAAGGAAGAAGTATTGCAAAGGAAAGGACCGAAAGCGCGACCTTTGGAAAGTATCGAAGCATTTGTTGTTGTTGTTGTATTCTTATGCTCGTTGGCGGTGGCTGTCGTCGGTGGTGGATGTGATTAAAACTTTGACAGCAGACAACATCTGACACCCCTAGAACATAGGACAACCCATGGGAACGAATACAAAACCACGCAGCCGAACGAAATATAATGAGAATCGTGAGTTGTACCGGTATTTGTTTATACATTTAATTTTATTCCAAATATATTATTATACTTATGTTTGCAGCTCACAACGGTATTATTATTAATATAGTGGTACCTCGATATACGCGCTTAATCCGTTCCTTGTCCTTGGACGTATACAAAACAATACGTATACCATACACATTTTCCCATTAGAAATAAATAAAGAATGTTCTTATGATTAAAATATATATATAGACACACACACACACACACACACATATATATATATATATATATATATATATATATATATATATATATATATATATATATATATATATATATATATTACTGTCTAATGTTAAACTACATAAATTACAAAAACAATTATATTTCATAAATGAAAATGTAACCTCACTTTACCTTCCTGTTTTCGTTACTTGGACCTGGCTGAGGCTCATCAGGTTTGACGTTTACTAAAAATCTACCCAAAGAAATGCCTTCTCATCTGGGTGTTTCGGAAATGTGACATTGTTTGGTGATCCCGGACAAGGCTTTTACGACATGCTTGGAAGTTAGGATGATGCTTTCCGTGAATTCACTGATATTGACATCTTTTTGTGGCTTTGTCTCCAGAGAAGTAAACAAAGATAGCAAGTCGTGACGTGACTACCGTTGACTTATAATAAAGGTTATGGACCCCTTTTCACGCCTTAAGGCGTATATGGCTTATAGGGCTAGACCTATATTTTATAAACCAATCGGCACAAGATGGGTGACGTGGTCCTCCTTTACTTCCCGGGACTGTACCCGGTACCCACTCAAGGCTGGGTCGACCTAGGAGCCAAGGTCATTTTTGAAAAAAAGTCCGGCTCCGCCAGAGAGCGTCTAGCCGCTCGGCCACGGAAACTCCCACCGTTGGCTCATACAAGTTCGTATTCCAAATGAAAGTCGTATACCAAGCAAAAGAAGACGCATACCAAGTTGAACACATACCAAAGCGAAAGTATACAGAGATATCAATGTAGTATGCTTTTAAAACTAGAATAAAACCCTCCCTGATATTTACTTTGTGTCAGCGCCGCTGTTACGAGTTTACCACTGATCTGGTTCAACTAAGTAAACGATGTTCTCACATCCTTCTCACAAATACACTCACCCAGAATCCAGAATTTCCTTGACCTTCGTTATATTTCCTCTCCGGATTGCAGAATGTAAGTCATCGCCTGTATATGGTGCAGCTGCGGTATCAAAATAGACATGAGTAAAGGCACTACCAATAGAAAAAGGACAGTGGTTATATAACTGAATACAAAATTCACAAAAGGAATGAATGTAGGGACTTTAGGGTCAAGAAAATACAATTTTGTACCGCTTAGTTAGCCGCCAGTTTATAGTGCCTGTCTTTGATAATATCAAATGTCAACCTACGTAAAATTAACACCTGCGAAATAAGATGCCTGAGAAAAACCGCCAGCTTAACCATCCGAGACAGTTAGAAATAATATTATCAGACTGACTGTAGGAACAACACCCTCCAGTAAATTAATTGAGAAACAGATGATCAGATGACATAGCCATCTCGTTAGAATGCAGCCAGAACAATCACTAACGCAGACGATACACATGAAAAGATCTGAAGTGATCTCAAGAAGTCGCCCTAGGAGAAAATGTGATGAATCAAAGAGCTTACACATCGACACGGAATGACAAAAAGCCATTGCTGCTAGTCAAACAATGGATCCCAAATTGCTCCTCTCTACGGAACTCGACGGCAGAAGTGGAAACTGATGATGATATTGATAGTTAACCGTTCGTGTCTAGACCCGAAGATCATGGGTCCGAACGGAAGGTTTTCTTTTTCAAAACTAACATTGGCTCACAGGTCTCGACCAAGCCTTAAATGGGTACCAGATACAGTCCCGTGGATTACAAGTGGCCGACGTGATGTTGACCATATCATACGCCGAGTGCCGATTTATCTATAAAATGTAGGTGTGGTCGTAAATCCCCAGTACGCCTGAAGACGTGGAGAATTGTCCTTCACTTTCATGTATTGCATAACATGCAGCGAAAATGGGGACACCTTTAGGGTTAAAAAAAAAGCTTTATACATTTATAGTTTGGATGTTTGTTATCACTCGTATAAGTTAAATACAATGCAGAAGAAACATACCAAGAGAAAGATATTGACTGACACAGAGTTTTGCATCCACAGCCACAACATAATAATGCGGCCTTGTATTAATAGCGAGTGTCCTTCTTCTTCGGGGCGTGCCGAAACAAAACAAATAGAGGCCTAGCATCCTTAAACATTTTCTAGGTGAATTTTCTAAAGGGGATCAGACTTGTTTACTTGCGTAATCACACACACACACACACACACACACACACACACACACATATTATATGAGGAATTTATTTAATAATACACCTACAGTAATTTGAAATACTTCAACAATTAAAAAATAATTACAAATTATTAAAAGAAACTGGAAATTTTATTTAAACATGGGCACCTTGGCAGATTTTCTTACATAGTTTCCAATGTCTAGAGCAGGACTGAGGCCCCGACTCCCATCCGTATAATTTGTCTTGGAAGGGGCTTATGGGAGCTAAGCTCCCATGTTCTGTGGCACCTGCCTTGCAAGTAGTCTTAAGTTTCAATCACCCTAGACTGTTTTTTTTTTTTTTTTTTAAGTATCAATAAACCACGAGTTGTAAACCCTTTTGCTCAGTACTATGGATATCGCAACCCTTCGGCCTTGATTCCATAATAGGTACCGTAAATCTGGGAGAAATGTGGCTTTTCTGCCTATCCCCGGACCACAAGGAGTTTGTCACCCGGTCGCCGCGCAGAGGGTTTTAACCAGCTGAGCTAGCGAGCCTGGCAATCACCCTAGAATCATTCACAATACTATCAAGTGACTAGTGACTGGCCTATGTTATCATATTTTTTTTCTACACTGTATTCACTGATAAAAGTTTGTCTGCGACGCATCTCAAGCTTTTGTGTGTAAAGCTGGCATTTTCAACTTGATGTTAGTTTTTTTTCCCCCTTTCAAATTGTCCGTTTATTATAGGGAAAAACAACGCCAAACTATGCACGTACCTAGGGTTTTGGCTGTGATTGTATCGCTCCAGTCACTTTTCACTGATGAATGGTCCACCTTCAGCCTGTAGTAGTATAACTTGCTGGGCTGAAGACCTGTATGCGTGCAGCTTTTGGACAGACCGCTAGAGAATATGCAGTTGAAGAGTGAGAAATGTCTGAGGTATTAACTCTTTCATTCTCTATCGTTTATTTGTTTATCCCCTATCCCAAGGAGTTGAGTAGGTTTTAGGTTTATACAACGGATTAACATCATGGCACAAGGGTATTTAGTACCCCTAAGTGCTCCGTTCTACTGCTAACTCAAGTCTGAGTCCTAAGAATCTTAGCGCAGTGCACGAACTCCGTAGCACCTGCGAGGATTCTGAAATACTTTGTGTAGATTTTCAACTCCACATTTTTGCCCGGGCAGCGCTGTTAGGCTACTCTTTTCGATTTTTAACTGCTAAAGGATTTCTTACGTGCTCAACACACGGGTGTCTGATCTTACTACACAGAGACCAGGGAAAATTACTAAAGTCAATTTTTAGCTTTTCTACTCCACCAGGACATCACACAAGCGATAAACACTCGATGACACAAAGTGCCACCATGCGGATGAGGATCGCCGTGGAGAGGTCCCAGAAACCGCGTTCAGGCATTTGGCCATATTTATGGCCTGCCTATATTGCGGCCCCCGGCAAAACCCAGGGTGAAGCTTCAAACAAAAAATTTCATCCTGAAAAGGACGACAGAGAGTTACATTTGTAGCTTAAGAGCGACATACGTTTTGCCGAACAAGTTCAGCTGAGACATTAGGGAACAAAAGTAACACAACAAGTAAAGGACCCAATTTTTTTACCTCTTTATGCCTATTGACCATATAGGGCTACAACTATATTTTACAGACTTATCGGCACTCGATGGGTGTTGTGGTCAATATCACGTTTGCCGCCTTTTTTGTTTCACGGGACTTTACCTGGTATGAATTTTATAGTTGGTCGACCTGGAAGCCAAGGACATTTTTGGAACTAAATTGCTTAGATAAAACTTCAGCCACAAAGGGTAGCTAACTAACTCATCTTCTTTTATAGTCCAGAATATGTCCACCAAAGACCTCTTGTTACTCATGGTGTTGAATTTATATATATATATATATATATATATATATATATATAATATATATATATATATATATATATATATATATATATATATTTTTTTTTTTTTTTTTTAATTTTAAATTTCATTTTTCAATTACGCCATCCCAATATAGGGCGCAGTCTTTTGTTATTTTAAAGCCCTCACTCAGCTATCGCCGGGAGCTCTAATATAACCAAAAGGTTGAACAGAGTTTCTGGGAGTTGCGCCTGGGTAATTCTCACCCGAATGGTGGCACATTATGTCACCGGGTGTTCATCGCTCGTTGTGAGGTCCTGGTGGAGTTGAACTTCGCTCATTCATTCCAGTTTTCTCCTCGCAATTTCTTCCTGTATTATTGATCGTGTTCATCTAACACGCATAAAACATGCCCTTAATGCTATGGTTTCCTACAGCGCAATCTCACTGTTGATTTGATACGGCATTATGTTTGCTAAATTATTCTATAGAACTATATTATATTATTACAGCCACTGAGATGTTTTCTTCATTACCACTTTCCAACTGCCTTTTTGTGATTATTAATCAGATATGTAGTTATGATGCCATTTGGTAACATGCACCGATGGCGGTTCAGTGCGCCAGTCGTGAGACCGGTCCTTTGCTATGCTTCATTTACGCAATATTTTGTGGCTTTTATTGGGCGTGCATGTCAAAGCACTGAAATGAGTTCTCTGTCTATCGATTACTGGAAACAATTGTCATTATCGATTATTGGAAATAATTACCATTATCGATTCACCGAATCAATCAATATAACCAATTTTCTGGAGTAATTAAAGGCTTTGGCATGAAAGGCACCGAAACCTAGCGGTTAGGTATCTTGAACCCCCCCCCCCCTCCCCCTCCCGAACTCCCATTTGTAAAGAGACTAAGCTGCCTTCATCTTAGTATGTTTATTAAATTGTTTATACACTTCATTTTATTACAGAAATCATCATGTTTATTTGTTCTGTAATAGGGTGGAAGCGACGAAGACTACAGTACAGCAGATTAAAGATCTTAGATTTATTCTGGTTTTAAAATGGTTAAAAGGCCACCGGAACTAACTAATAGAGTTGACCAGAAGATGGAGAAAAATCAGCCCACGGAAACGCGGCAAAGAAAACAACAATCAGCAGAGCTGACAAAAGTACTTGCACTGACCAACTGAAAACAGCCAAAAACCAGGCACAGATGACTGAAGCACCAGAAAGCAGAGACCAAAGCACAGAAACCAATAGCTCGAATCCAGACTCTGAAGCTATAAAAGAAGCCGACCAGAAAAACGCGATAACCAACTAGGAGATAAGCGAGGCCGACGTCCTAGAGAGGCTACAAAGTATCAACAAACAAATACACCCGCACGAGATCATACTAGAGCGCGGCCGTTACGTTATCTCTTTTGATGACGAAGAGAAAGAGAAAGTCAGCCTGCTACCCGACATAGAACGCAAAGCCTTCTACAAGCAAATGAATGCGTTCTGGGAAGAAATGTGCGCAGCCCATGAACAACTGATCAAGGCAAGAAGGAGACGACCGAACCAGGGAACGCCAAACAGACGATACCGCTAATAAGGACTATCCACTCACTCCCACCCGAAACGACCTGATCAAGCCACCATCTTGCGGGAAACCCAGGAAATCAACAGCTACCCGCCAAGCAGACACCTCAGCAGCCCCGCCCATTCTCCCTCACAATGGCCTACCCCGGCTACGTAACCGTTCTTTTCAGAACGGCTACCCCCCTTCCTGCCATGCCGAACGACAAACCTCCCGCCCGAACCACGCCAGATCTAGCCCAATGCAAAGCATAGTCCGCCCTTTTTAGGGCAGACCGAGATCCCTTACCTCACCCTGACAGCAGCAACAAACCCTCAGGCCGCAAAGAAACGTCAATAACTGGAGAACGAACTCCAGACAACAAAACACCGCCTTGATATAACCAAAGCTCAATCTAGGAGCCGGTTGAAAGAGGCAAGAAGTTTTTCGTTTTTTTTTACCAACACCAGTCACCAGTCACCAATTTCAAGCCTATTCATCTTCCGGACGGTTTCTGCGCCAGCCTGCCTAGCGACTGTGCTTCGCACAATGAGCTAGTTAACAGGCATGGCGGGCGTAGGAAAAGTTCGTGATGAGATTGGCTAGGTATGGTACGTTTCCTTTGGGTAGATTTAATATTAATTTTCATTTGCATTCTTGCCAAGAAATAGTTAGATGGTAGATTGCTGTATATTTGAGGTTTTGTTCCAGCACGTGGTCGTTTATATCGTTACTTTTGGCCATGCTGATGTGGTTAAATAAAAATTATGTTCAACGTTGTATTCATAGTTACAGTTGTTTTCTTTCATAGTTACAGTTGTTTTCTTCAGCTTAGGACTTCTAGATAGTGTGCCTAGTTTATCTAGTTTAGTTTCGTCGTTACCTGGACTATATTAGACTTTACACAGAAGATCTCATGCCTGGACTAGAATATTCTTGTTTCTAGTCCCCACCTAACGAACTATTTCCTTTATTTTTTTTATCTTAGTACTTAGGGCTTCTCCGCCCTAGTACAGTTCATTCAGCATATTATTTTTATTACTATTATTATTATTATTATTACCTCGATGAGGTAAATTGTGAAAGAGAAAAAGAAGAAGAGGATGAAGAAGAAGAAGAAGAAGAAGAAGAAGAAGAAGAAGAAGAAGAAGAAGAAGAAGAAGAAGAAGAAGAAGAAGAAGAAGAAGAAGAAGAAGAAGAAGAAGAAGAAGAAGAAGAAGAAGAAGAAGAAGAAGAAGAAGAATAGAATGTACTAGAACTGGTTATAACTTTGTTTAAGACACTAGTGTTTCTACAGGATATTAATGATGGACCCTAGTAAGGATTAAATGGCACCAGTCTAAAATCATCACCAGAATGTACGATACCACTTACGTGTAAGCTTTCTCCCATTGTCCTTTTTCGGTTTTTGCTTCAAGATAAAGCTTGATAGCGGCCTTTGGGTTCCCACATGTGGCCTTGGCAACAGAGAGAGCCTCCTCAAACTGTAGCTCAATGCTGAAGTGAGTGATCTTGCCCAGTGTAGGAGGCGGGAGTTGATTCAGGGTCACGACTGATGAAAACAAGACATGTTATTTAATTAAATGTGTCATCTTGGTAGTACTGAATATTAACAGCAATGTTTTTATGTAATGTATTTTAAAATGCGGACTCAAACAAAACAAAAATACATTACACAATTTTTGGAAGACATATTTAGCTGTCTCTAGCCAAACGCGATACTTCAGACTTACATCAAGATAGGTCTAGGGGGCTGAGTAGTCTTGAGGTATGGTGTCCGCCTTGAGTGCTGGAGGTCCCGGGTTTAAGCCATGGTAAAGGCTAGGATTTTTTCACGTGGACTTCTAGTAATAACCCCTGGTGTCTGGTTAGTCAGTGTCCATTCTTGCGCACGTCAAAAATCCCTTGGCAGTTAGAAATCGAAAAGAGTAGCCCAATGGCGCTGCCCGGACAAAATTTTGAGTTAAAAATCTACCCAAAGTATATCAAGACCCTCGCCCATGCAACAGAGTTCGTGCACTGCGCTGAGATACCTCACACTCAGGCTTGATTTGGAAGTAGAACGGAGTACTTATGAGTTACACCTGTGTGCCATGATGTTGATCCGTCGAATAAACAAACATAATCAACATAGGCCTATAATAAAGCACACAACAATTTTTAAAAAAACTAAATAAATTCTACTCAGATACAAAATATATTATATTATTTACAACGCGCATTCCTCTTACTTGTAAAGTATTTATTCATATTCCACTCATATTAAGTATTAGGCTGGAGTCTGTAGTGAATTAACTAAATGTACTGTCTATAAGTGGCCAGTTGTTCTCAGTCACATGATTTCATCAAAGTGGGATTAAACTTATCCTATCGCATTTACAGCGTACATTAATACATGAAACCTCTATTTCCAAGGACGTGAAGATGAGAAGTTTAGCATCATGGCCTAGAAGAACTTATGCGTCAGAAATACTTTACTGAATCCACAGAAGACTTACGACAGACATGAATATTATACCAACGCCGAACGGCATTGACTGTGGGGTGGGGGAAAAGGGGGGAGAAGGGGGGGGGGGCGTTGACGGACTGTGTAGCAATGAATATAAAATATGCAATTGACATACAAAGGCTGCCTGAGCGAATTTATTCTTTGAAAAAATACATAAATAAACAAAAGTTGCATATCCTTTTCATGAGGTTGCAGAACCAATTCCGACATTGTTTTGACTGTTTGTGGCTTGACAAGGTAATTTTACATTCAGTTCTTTGCCATTACCACTCTACGGTCAGCCGTCATTACCATTGTGGAAATCAACGCAAAGCGGTATGCTGCCAAATCGTCTGCAGCTGAAGTCGAACCAGGTATCCCGGGTTATCGAATCGCTTTCGCAACACCTAAACCAAAGACAACATGGACAATGAGGAAGGAAATTTTGAGGGGATGGATATGAACTGTGTTTCTAATTGATAGTCATGAAGTCAGAAAATCATCTAAATGAGAAACTAAGTCAAACGCAGTTAACTAAATACACCCAGAGCGCACCAACGGGACATTATTATAGATATCCTTTTTTTGTGTAGAAGATTCTTTTTTTCTCATCAAATACCAATTATTATCTGGTGAATGTAATGTGCTGTTTTCATTTTTTTGGGTAATGTTGTGAGTCGTTCATTTATCTCCGTTGTAGACATATTGTTGTATATCTAGTGGAAATGTATCGGGTTCATGTTACACTAGACCCGTCACATGGAAATCCCCGGAGGCCCGCTGAATATGACTTAGTGTAAGATGTACGTGTTCCTCGGAATTAACGTGTAGCCTGAGCTAAGTCTCGGAAACACGACTTAACCTTTATACCACGTCTGAAGACAGTCTGTTCGAGCGAGTCATACAGATAGGACCATCGAGTTCCTGGCATTGGCCAGTATTGTGATCTTGTCGCTATATTCTGTGAGTGTGTTCAGCTTAATTAAATGTTCTATCTTGCGGGCGTTGTACCGTAAAGATGACTCTAATGTTCCAAGACTCTCGAGTCGGTTACCTGTTATAGTACAATTTAGTTAGTTAGTCGACAGGTTATCCTCATTGCACATCGAACCACTCAGTCCATAAGTGCTCAGATCCCCTCCTCAGTAAATCCCGCAGCGTGTAGCGGCTAACGACACCAGTTCTGTGTTGGTTTATTATTATTCTTTGACTACCCGCGTAGTGTTCTTGTTTGGCGACACCCCGTTTAACATGTTGTTCTTGCAGTCTGACCATGGTTGCAGATTCACAGTTCTCAACTGGTTCACGCAAACGTCTTAACTCTCTTAGAGCATTCAGTATATTAGCCTGGTCCATGGCTTGCCGGCTTTCACAGTAGCCTTACCTGCAAGCGTATCAGCTTGCTCATTTCCTTGTACCCCGACATATCCTGGCATGAAAATAAAACTAATCCTTGTCAGCCGTGAATTCTGTAGAGCCACCAACCACTGCCTTCGGACCCAGCCCTTCTCTATCTTCCTGAGCATACTAATCGAGTCACTGAGAAAGCATACCCCAGTAAAAGTCTGTGTCTCTAGCCATGTTACTGCTTATTATATATCGTCTATATATTATAGTACATCTGTTGGCAGTTATATTGTCTTTTGGGAACAAGACTAAAATGGGTATGCCTTCAGACTGTGTTACGCCATGTGGCTTATTTTAGTTCGGTGTGGTTACCCTTGTCCACGAAACTGGTTGGACACCGGCTTGTTGGCCAGCACTAAAGGGCTGTTATATAAACGTGTGGGTATTTCGTAATTAGCGCTCTTTGTCTATCCCTCCCCCCCCCCCTTTTTTTTTTTGCAACCAAGTGCAGTCCAGCTTACACAGCGGAACTCCAGTACTGAATGAATTCAGTCTTCATATGAGACGGCAGGGTTTCTCAGCCTGCATGCTGGAGCCCACTAGCGCATGTCGTTGTTGAAGCGAGAGTATTATTATTGAGCAAATAAGTCTTTTGTTAATTACTAGAGACAGATACACGACCATCACAGTTCTTTAAGTGCATTAAAAATGGTTGTCAACGAATAACTTCAGTAGTTTCGTCTGTTGCAGTTCAGTAATGTACAGTTGTAACTTGAATGTACGAGGACTTGTTGGGACTGTAGTCATGTATAATGTGGCAGTTCCATACATCATAGCCTAGATACTCGTTTGACCAGTATAACTGTTACTGATTTAAATGTGTTGCCATCTGCCATTCAGAGGTGCTCGTACAATAAGTGGCTGTATCGCAACAGTTAACCTATCCGACTTTCATTAACGTTGACACAGTATCTTCCCGTGTTGGTTCCGGGGCCCCGAGTGTGGCAGAAAACACGAATAGACCCTCTGCCTCCACAGTAAGCATGACGTAGGAGTTGATTAATTGAGGGCTTCCTTCGAAGTCGGAGTGTATCTGCCTGAGCGGAAAGGAACCAACAGTCTGCCTACATATAAATCGGATGTGCACACAACACTTAGTTCTGGAACAAGACTGAAGTTCCAAGGTGAACAAACAACTAAAACTTTCGGCCGGAGTTTACAGCCAGTGAACGCAAAGAAGAAGAAGAAGAAGACAAAGAAGAAGAAGAAGAAGAAGAAGAAGAAGAGAAAGAACAACAAGAAGAACAAGAAGACACAACACCAGTCACTTGCCCATAGTCCTCGAGTCCCCCTCCCCACACCGCCGGTCGCCTTTACTTCCCAGGACGTTATCTGGTATTGCAATTACTCTCTTTCTATCACTCTCTTGGCTCCATTCATCTGCAGACTTCTCAGGTGCACGACTTTTATTTAAACATGTTGAAAGACGAACAATGCGAACATACAGCTGATGCTAACGTCCACGTTTATCGACTCACTCAATCGCCGTCAAGCCAGTGAACCCTGCGGTGGCAGTCCAGGGATTGCAACATCACAACTAATTGCACAAAATACAGTTCAAAGGAGTAATTAACTTTATATATAATGATCACATGAATAATCTGACTGCGACTACTTGACAGTCACAATCTTCAACTCTGAATTATCAACAACACGCACGGTCTGGATCAGAATTGCCAAACGAACGGTAGCCAGGTTTATCCAAGAAGTCACAGCCAAATCAGGTTCAGACATCAACTTGTAACTTCATTCATTACATACACTCTGTTCCTGGAACCCAAAAACGAGACTGTCTTTTCTTGCGTATTCTTTAACATCTTTTATGCCTCAGTGTTTCTTAATGATTCACTCACGTAAATTCACGATTTATTCACTTTGGCGTGTGCCCAGCAATCTGCACGCTTGCGTTACAAAGTATATAATTTATTTTCAGTCTCTGACCTCATTATTAATGCAAACGTCCTTTCTCAAGAGAAAATAGACTCGTTACAAGTACCCAACTGAGTCTGAGCCGCCATGGGAGCCTAGGTAAATTTTGAAAAAATTCCCTGCCCGTTCGGATTTGATCCCATGACGTTCCCATCTGCAGGCAAGCGTCTAGCCGCTACACAATGGCGGTTCCCTGTAATGACGTTTACAGTGGCAAAACCTTTTAATGCCAGGGTTATTATGTGTCTCTGGGCCAGTTTTTTTTTTTTTTTTTTCAGGGTTTTAAGTTGTTTATGAACTACTGTATTCTAGAAATATTTTATGTAAGTGTCAGATTTAAAAGCATGGATTTTCTTTAATAGAAAATCAGACAACTTGAAAATCACTATTCAATAGCACTATCACATTTGACGTAGACGTCTGTGATTTAGTGGCAGGTTCGATTATCGGGCCATGCAACTGTTTGGAGCGGTTAAGAACGCTGGACTCTCATTCTTAAAAACCACTTTCGAATTCTTGGTAAGGTTATTGCTGGTTGGTGGGTGGTACGTGTGAGTGTGTGTGTCGGTGTGTGTGTGTCAGGGGCAAAATAACATCCTGACCAGAACAGTCTTAAATCCGCAGGCTCAAAACGACCCCCCCACCCCACCCCCTCCCTTTTTTTCCCACACTGCCGTAAAAAGTTATAAATAAAGACAGTAAATGATAGAATTATAATATCAAACTTT